GAGGCTGTGCTCCCCAAATACCGCAAACCCTCTCTCTTAGCTTCAAATACCGCCTATATCACCAGCAATTCCAGAGTGTCCAGGGCTTTCTTCCCGGGGCTATAGATTCACCTACCCAGGTGTGTACCCGCTTCTCCACCCGGAAGCCACGCAGGCCACACAGATGCCATATGGTGGTCTTACTCCCCAAGCTGGCTCCTCCGCCAGCATTTCCTACCTCACCAAAGAGCGACCGACCCCCAGTGGCTCATCCCAAAAATCTGGGAATCATCTTTGATACCTCTCTCTGTCTTGCCTCTGCCTCTGTCTTGCCCCTGCCGATTCCTGATAATGATTAAATTCTATAGAGTTTACTTCCAAAACGCCTCTTGAATCCACCCATATCTCCATATCGCTGCCATCTCCTCCAACCTGTCCCAGCCACCACCATCAGCCAGTGGCCCGATCGCCGGGATCTTGTCTCATCCTCCCCCGAGGCCATTGTCCACCAGTGATCTTTTTGATATGTTGCTTCATCCTTCTGCTTAAACCCTCCAGTACTTCCTGTTATTTTCAGGATAAAACCCACTGATCCTCCTGTACCCCGCTGGATGAACCACCCCCACCCCCAGCCTCACCTGGAGCCACACGTGCCCCTCTTATTCTGCGCTAGCAGAACAGCCTCTGTCTTCCACACAAGACTGAGCTCCCTTTAGCCCTACAGCAGTCACACAGACCAGAGCATGCTCCTGCCTCCCTAGGACTGAGGTAAAATGTCACTACTTGATGCAAGTCTTCCTTCCCTCCAAGACCGGATCAGGTCCCTGCACCCCATTTCTCTTCCATGGCATTGTCACAGCTGTAATTAAAGACTCACTTGTATAAGATATTTATCTATCATCACCCTGTAACTTCATGAAGGCAGAGGTTACTGCTGGTTTTCCTCCCTACTCTGATTACGGGCCCTGTACCATGTCTGGCAGAGAGTGGAAACTCAGAAAATGTGGGTGAAGCCTGGCCTGAAGAACACCAACGACCATCACAGACACATCCATTTGACTTTCTACATTCATTTCAGGTGGATATTACATACCCATTTTACAGATGATCATATTGACTTCTATTGAACTTACATGATTTACCCAAGGGCATGAAGATAGCAAGTATCAGGATTTAAAGTCAGGACTCCAAAATCTACTTGGTAATATTTCCCTGAAAATATATCCTTGAGGCACAAAAATCACTTGTTTTAGCCCAGCTGTCCCTCCACTTTCAACTCCGTGGCCACTCTGTTCTTCACCCCATTCTTTGCCATTTCCTTCAGGATTATTATATTCACAAGCACTTCTTAAATCCCTGCATGTAAGTGACCACGCACTGAGCGATAAAAAAGTGACCAAGACCAAGTTCTTTACCTGAAAGATACCACAGTTTGTTAGAAGTAACCACTTTAGTTCTCCAACCTTGAATTTGTTGGAACTGCTTCAGCTGTAAGTTACATAAACTCAACTAACACTGGCTCCGGCAAGAAAAGGAATATATCGGCTCACATAAACTGCAAAGTCCGGATGTAGTTAAGCTTCAGGCATGGTTGTATCCAGGGGCTTAGTTAGTGTCCTCATGATGCAGTCACTCTCTGTCTTCATCTCTTGGGTCTTCTTTTCTCTACTGATTTTATTCGTGGCCAGGCTCTCTCCACTTGGTGGCAAAAATGGCTTCAGACAGCTCCAGGCTCCCACAGTTCTTAGTGCCTACTATCACAGAAAGACAGAGACTCTGCCAGGAGTTAAGGTGATGCTTATCAGCCCACTTCTGGTCATGAGCCTCTCCTTGCATCAATCATGGTGGCCTGGGGGATGGACTATTCTAGGGACAACACACTCATTTAGAGCTGGAGTAGGGTCAGTACCACACAAATCACATTTCTCCAAAGGGAAAATGCCATTACATGCCATTACAGAAAGGCGAAAGTCAGAGATTCCCAACACCCTTGCTCTTGGTTTCTTGCCCTCACCCACTCCTTTCCTGGGCCCCCCTCATTCCCCCTTGTTCCTGTCTTACAGGCTTTGCACTTGCTGACCTGTGCTGAGAAGCCCTATCTTCCAGATCTTTCCATGACTGGTTCTTACACTTCAGATCTCCACTCTAATGCCACCCTTTGCGAGAGGCCTTCTCGGACCCCCCTGAAGAGCCACTCAGTCATTCTCTCAGACTTCACTTTGTTTATTTGCTGGATCTAATGGAGCAGTTGAGCAATTATTACTTTGTTTACTCTGTGTTTTGCTCTCATCAGAATGTAAACTCTGTGCAATCGGGGGGATTCCCAACTATTTTGTTCACTTGTTGAATCTGCACAGTTCAGAACAGCGTTCAACACGAAATAGTGCTCAATAAATATTGGTTGGATAAATGAAAGGAATCTGTGGTGGCATCTAGTGAGAGACCAAGGAGAGCTTCATGGAAGAGGTGGCCCTTAAAGAAAGTGAATAATTTTTTTTAAAGATTTTATTTATTCATTTATTTGAGAGAG